ACACTGGCTATGATTGACATCCACTGATGCCTCGGAGGGCCAGGGACCAGATGCTGCTGTGGGGGCTGTGGTCCTACCCTGATGTACTTTTCGGCAGTTTAAACTTCATCTAGAGCCAACTCTCAGGGAACAAGGTTCAGATAGGCTGGTCCTCCAGGAAGATGTCATCTAAGTCCTCATCTTCATCCGCTTCAGGGAGGGGATGTGGGGCAGTGTCTCCTTTGCGTCTCTCCCATGGTCCTCCCACTCCATCCCCTTCTGGCCCTTATCTCCCCTTGACTTGTCCCATGACACTTCACGCCCCTCAGGCAAACCCCAACGCCCCCCACCCCCCCGCCTCCTGCCATGGCCTCCTCACATGTCCCCAAAAGCAGCTGCTCCTCCCGGGCCTCCTGAGTCAGGGCCTCAGACAGATGGCAATAGCTCAGGAAAGCGGTAACACAGGTTGGCCCATGGCGGACATGCCGGGTCCTCTCTTCACACGACAGCCCCACCGGGCTCTCCCGGAGCCCAGCCTCACAGCACTTTCGCTCCAGCTCTGTCTTGAACTTGTTCACTGTGGGCCAGAGTTAGAGGGACTGAGGAGGGGCTGAGCGGCACCAGAGGAAGCTGGGACCCATCTACCTTAATGCCACATACACCTGGTCTCTATGTATCCATAACTCTGGCAGATGCTGGTCCTAGCACTTTGCCTGTATCTTCCTCCTGAAGCCTCACATTGAACCCATGTGGTGGGTTCTGATGAGGAAGCTAAACAACAGAGAGTTTAATTCACTGGCCCATGGTCACACAGCTCCCAAGTGGCAGGGCTGGCAGTAGAATCCATGCTGTTGCTTCTCTTTTTCCCCCTCCTCCTCCCCACCCTTCTTGGCAGGGATTGCCATGTTTTTATATTAGAGATACCATTTCAACTTTTTTTTTAAAGATTTTATTTATTTGAGAGAGAGAGAGAGCGAGCACAAGCAGGGGGAGGGGCAGAGGGAGAGGGAGAAGCAGGCTCCCCACTGAGCAGGGAGCCCGACATGGGACTTGATCCCAGGACTCTAGGATCATGACCTGAGCCAAAGGCAGACACTTAACTGATGGAGCCACCCAGGCGCCCCATCATTTCAACTTCTGATTTTCATCATGTGTTTTTATAAAATCAAAACATAAAACTTGTTGTAAAGCATGATGTCAAGCTGAATGCTTCTAAGTTAGCAAACTGAAGGAATACACTTAAAGATAAAAATAGAGCAATTCAGGGGCACCTGGGTGGCTGAGTTCATTAAGCGTCCGACTCCTGGCTTCAGCTCAGGTCATGATCTCAGGGTCGTGAGATTGAGCCCTGCGTTGGGCTCCCCGCACTCAGCATGGAGTCTGCTTGAGATTCTCTTCCTCTCCCTCTGCTCCTCCTCCTGCTCACACACTCTCTCTCTTTAAAATAAATAAATAGGGGCACCTGGGTGGCTCAGTTGGTTAAGCGACTGCCTTCGGCTCAGGTCATGATCCTGAAGTCCCGGGATCGAGTCCCACATTGGGCTCCCTGCTCAGCAGGGAGTCTACTTCTCCCTCTGACCCACCCCCCTCTCATGCTCTCTCTCTATCTCATTCTCTCTCTCAAATAAATAAATAAAATCTTTAAAAAAATTAAAAATAAATAAATAACTTAAAATATATAGCAATTTAAAAATCTTATTGTTTACCACTAACATAATTATAGTTAAATGATACAACTTATCATTACCATAAACAAAACAACGGCTTATATTATAAACTTTTCCCAGGGGGTTAGCATAATTCTCTTTAATACCAAAATTAGAGTTAAGGTTTTATCTCAATTTCTATTAGGTTTCACTTACTTTCTCTTTATTTAGATTCACAAAGTCATTAGCACTGCTCAAAGAGACTGAAAAATCTAAGATGCATAGAACCCATGCTTCCAACACCACTCAGTGCTGCCTCCCATCTTCCCTGAATTCCAGGCTCACATCTTATTCTGGTCCACACCCTGGCCTTGGGGATGGCAGGTTTGCTATTATCCACTGGTACCCAGCACCCGTCTCTCCTTTTGTCTACATTCACTCTTGTATTACAAAGCCTAGACATCTAGAAGCTGCATTTCCCAGACTCTCTTCTGCTAGGGTTCTAGATGGGATAAGATTCTGCCACAGAGACACGCTTGTGTAAGATTTGGAGGGTGGAAGAAGTGGAGGCCATTTTCCCTGTGGCAGTGGTAACTGACAGGTGAACCCCAGTCACAGGTGAACTCCGTGTGTTTTTGTAATGGGCATTATTTCTGCACTTTGTTATCTACCCACCAGCATCGCAAGAGATATTGGCAGAAGTTTCCCGAGATTTCACACATTGCAAAACTGCAGTGAGGTGATCTTGAGTCCCAGCAAGCAGCCTTTTGATGTCCACTCCTACAGACCGTCTAATGATTTTGAAAGCACCAGACTCCCATCACCAAATCCCTCCCTTTCTGCTTGAAGTACCTAGAGTGGTTTCAGTTTTCTCTTCTAAGCTCTGATGAATACAGTAGTTTAGGGAGCCAGGAGGGACATGTCCAGCTTTAGCTCTGACCTGCATTCCTCTTTGTCTCCAGCCATTTCAGGGAGCGGCGGTGACGGCTGGCAGGGGGGCTCTGAGGGCACTGCCAGTCTGAGGGTCAGAGAGAAGAATGAGAGGACCGCCGTCAGGATCATTATCAACATCCTTGATATTTATTAGGTGCTTACAGAATGCCCAGTGCTTTCTAAGCATCATTGCATTTAATCCCGTAGCCTCCTCATAGTCATGATTCACCACTTAAAATCTGTGCAATCTTCAGGAAGTCACTTAAACTCTCTGGGCATTAATTTCTCCAGCTATGTAAATTGGTACAATCAAAGTTCTATCAATGAGATCATGCATATAAAAGTACTTAGCACAGTGTCCAGCTTGTAGTAAATAGAAACTATTATTGATATCATTATTTATAGTTGAAAGAAGACACTCCTACTTATCCCTAGTATCCACTTTCCCCCTTCAACCGGGGCAACTAAACCTCCCTCTTTTGCATATCACTCAGAATGAAGACTACATTTCCCAGCCTCCCTTGCAACTAGGTAGGGCTACATGACTGAGTTCCGGCAAATGAGATTTGAGAAAGTGTCTCCCCTTCCTACTTCCCTTCATACTCTTGCCTGGCATGAGGTCCTGATGAGATGCCACCTTGGAATATAGCAGAACAATAAGCTAGAAGGAGGTTGAGTCCCAGAATGACATCAGAACTGTTACTGAGTGAGAAATAAACTTCTACCTTGTTTAAGCTACTGTTTGTATCTCTGACACCCATGGCCAAACCTATATCTTAACTAAGAGGTAGTGAGTCACTTCTATTATTATCCCCATTTTATGGACAGAGAAATGGAGCCTCAGAGAGGAAACGTAACTGACTCATGGTAAGTAGGAGGGTCCTAGATTTTAGCCTGTCTGACACCAAACCTCATGTTCTTAACCACTAGACAACACTGCCCACCCACCCTGCCCCCAGCATGTCCCTTCCTGTACCTGAGCTTGCTGGGGTGTGCATCCCCGTGCTCATCTTCAGGTCCAATCCAGCATCCTTGAATACAGCAAGTCCGTCTTTCCCACTGCCTGCTGTGCAGCCAATGTCATATTCTTCCACCACATCCCAGACCTGGGGGTTAAGATAGGAACCTGGCTTTGGAGCTTGTATGACCTTTTCAGGGAAGGAGCAATGGTGCACTGAAATAGCTGGCTCAAATAATAATTCTCACACCACCTCCCATTTATTGAGCTCTTATCACCTTCCAATCTCTAGCTGTGTGCTAGCTCCTTGAATCCTTGCAACTATCAAAGTTGCCCATTTACAGCTGAAGAAGCTAAAGCCCCAGTTATTAGAACCTCCAGGCAACCTCCTGGCCCATAGCCCACATATTCTCACCTTCTTCTGTGTGAGCTTGTGCTTGCTGTTCAAGACATAGACAGCCTTGTCCACTGCCACCAAACCCACTGTGGCCTCTTTATCACCTGTCACCTTCACTTCCACGTGGCTGTTAGGCTTCAAAGTCTGGAAGCGTCTTTCTTTCTTCAAACCAACCTTCAGCTGAGCCAGGAAAAACAAGAGATGTCAGGAAAAGGGGCTCATATGCTACCAAGAGACTTATCCAAGTCTACTTTCAAGTTTATGCTCCTTATGGCTCTGATGGAGCATCCGGGAACTTTACCATGCCAATCCCAACTCCACACATTTGCTTGCATATTCGCCATGCCCTAGGGTGAGCTTTTAAGGGCACATCTCCTCTTCTCCCCTGCCCCCAGACTTGGAGCCCTTCAACTTGGACAGACTTTCTGCCCATCCAAGCTTTATGATGGTAATGTGCAACTTCAAGGAATTTGGCTCACCGTCCCCATGCATCTGTCATTCACATCAACCCATACAGAGTCGGCCACCAGTTTAGGATCCTGACCTGTTCCCCTAGGCAGTAAATAAAAGGCCAGGATGCAGAAGGAGGGCAGCATCTCTGAAGTCACATCAATAGTGGTTACCGTGAGGTCACTTTTTGATTGATGTTTGGCATGCACAATCCGGTCCTTACTCAGGACCTTGGAGACAAGGGAAGACAAGAATAAGAAGGGTAAGGTCAACCTTTTCCTGAAGCCATCTCAGTTCACAAGGGAGACCCACAGTTCCTTTGCTTCAGCCCCTTAGTCTGAGGCCACCCCAAATGGTTCCCACCTTCACACCACTGTTCAGTTTCTCCAAACCAGCTAGCCAGGGATGTTCCAGGGAAATAATTCCTTGGCTTAGGTTTTAGTCCTAGCCACTCACCAGGATGGTGAAGTGAGTGATCTGTTTCTTGGTTTCAGAATGCTGATGTTCTGTGACAAGGCTCAGGTAGATGCTGCTGCCAACCTCTGCGACTGTCTTCACCTCAATGTGCAAGATGTTCCCTGACCCACCCTGAGTCGAGTAAGGCCAAGCCATCATATTGGCTGAAGCCTGCTCTTCTGGCCAGAGAGGCTCATCAGTTTCTACCTGGGGAGAGTGATGGGCAAGTAAACCTCCAGCTCTTCCAGCTCACACAGCTCCACCATCCCTGCCCCATTAAGTTGGTACCAAGATAGGGAGCTTCTCCCGATTATTTGCATTTGTGTTGATGGTCAAAATGGCCACTCCATTGGCTGGGGTGTGGTCTTGTTTGTCTTGGCATCGGACAAGGACTCTAGAGGTTGGGGACCCATCAGGATTTGAGACAAAGACCTGAGGTAGAATCAGGGGTGAGATGAAAGATAGGCCTGGTGGTGGCCTGGCATGAGAAGTGGGTACTGGGAATCTGATCTGGACAGGACTGCCTTGTATAGCTGTACAAGTTGTGCACTGAACAACACTGGGGACACCATTCATATTAGAGTTTTTATGAATGGCACCCCCTCAAGTTTTGCAGTGTGTAATCATATGTGATGGCCCTGGGTGTTGGTGTGCTGGTGGGGTGGAGGTGGAGGGAATTGGAGTGGAGAGATGTGGAGGGCTTGGGGAAATCTTTAGTAGGACTGGCACCAAAGGATGTTTCTAGTTTTCTTAATGTCCATCAGACATCTCAAAGTCACCCAAAATGAATGCATGTAAAAACAGCATGCTTGCCTTGCAAAAGTAGCCTCAAGATAACCCCCTGAGCACCACCTTCCAGCCTGACTGTGACCACTAAGCCTCCCACAGAGAAATTATGGAGTCATCACAGTGCTTTGGGGGGACCTGGGTTAAGACTTGAGAGAGACTTGGGATTGGTCTGGGAGGCCTGATGGATTCTAAGTTGTGGGGGACAGGTGAGTCCAGTATGGGTTTTTGTCTCCTGAGAAGGGTCTATTAGGGGAAGGGAGCCCCAAGACCCTGGGTGGAATGAAGTCAGACTCTGACCTTAATGTAGAAGGGCATCCCAGGCTTGAAATACTGGGGTGTCCTGATGAACTTGATGCTGTATGGGCTCCGGATGATCTTCACCCCGGAGGTCTTAGCCTGGACCATCTCACCCCCTGGAGAAACAGGGGACTGTGAGGTCTGTGGAGGAGGTTCAGTTTCTTGGGGGAATGGCAGGGCTGCTGGTATGGGAGGCCTGTCTTGGTGAAGACAGAGAAAGACAGTAACACAATCTCAGCTCCTTCCAGCCTTTCTGGCATTTTTGCATTTATCTGATGAGGAAACGGACTGGGAGGTGGCCCATGGTCACATGGGTGGAATGTCTAGGTTGGGTAAGAACACTGTCCTGACCTCAGCCAGGAGCTTGGGTGAGGGTGGCACCTGAAGAGAACACGGTGATGTTGACAAAGATTAAGGCCCCAATGTAGTCCTCTTCTGGGCCTTGGAATGTGGACATCAGTGTGTCCTTCTGGAGGGAGATGTGGCCCAGACCTTCAGAGATCTGGTCTCAGGGTGAGAGAGAGAAGAGGAGATAGTTTCTTGGGGAGTAGAGGAGGGTTGATGGAGAGGGAAGTTGGTGGGGGAGAGAGGTCAAGACTCAGTCACCTCCACTCTCTGCAGGGAGCTCTGGATGGGCATCCGGTGGGAATGCGACTTCACCCTGAAGATGGCCAGAGCATGTCCATCCACTGACTCTTTGAATACATACCTGGGGGTGGGTGGAAGGTCATTCCACTGGCTCTGAAACACCCATACAACTTCATGTGGTTGCAGAGATGTCCTGTATGACCTCATGAGGCTGCAGGGATGGTGGTAAATCTTTGGGAGGGGCAGAGTGACCCCTGGAAACTTAGATGGTTTCATTGCTCACCTACACAATGCTGGGAAGTGATAAATGTGTTTCATCAAGCTTCGTGTTGGGTTGCAGATGTAGCTTGTGCAACCTCACAAGATGGTGGAGGTAGCCCATAAAACCTCATCAGGCAGCCTAGGAGGCATGCATAGGAATGGTCTGCATAGTGTCGAGAAGTGGCAGATATGGCCCTTACAACTTAGGTGGACAAATGGTCTGTACAACCTCATAGTGCTGTGGAGACAGTCTGGACAATTCGTAAGATGGCAAATTTGCCTGTGCTACCTTGTGGACCTTCAGAGATGGTCCGAGCCATGAGACTTGGCATGGCTTTATTAGGTGGGCGACGTGTCCTATACAACCCCAGAGACCTGAAGGGATGGTCTGTACTACCTACACATGGCAGACATGGTCTGGACAACCTCACAAAACAATGTAGGTGGCCAAGAATATCTCATGGGTGGCAAAGAGTACCTCTACCATACCTTAAGTGCCACAGAAATGGCCTGCTTCTCCACCCATTCAGTTTCTTGGCATTCCTGGTCCTCTGGCCAGGCTGGGGACAAGGGGACTTACCAAACCTCGATGTCCATACCCAGAGCCTCATCGTTGAGGTAGAAGAAAGTCTTGTTTGGCTTCAGCTGGACCTCAAATGATGGGAGCACTGGATGGAGTAAAGGCAGTGGGCACCCTCAGTATTTTGCTGTCCCCCCCTTGTCCCCTCCCTGTTCACTCCTTCCTCAGTGACTCTTGCAACCCCCAAAGATTGGAACACATGGTTCTGTTCACCAGCACCCAGCTTAGGCCCTAGCACACAGTTGGTGCACCATGAGACCTCTTTTCCACTTCCAACCCTGCTTCTTGCATGTCCCACCTTGCCCTGCCCATCACACCCTGCTCACCATAATCCCTGACATCAAAGGCTGCCTTGAACTTCTGCTTGGCTGCACTTCGGTAACTGGCTTCGATGCTCCAGGTCCCAAAACTGAGACACAGAAAATTCGGAGAGATGGAGACTGAGAAGGACAGCCTCCATCCCTCCATCCACAGGGCTCCCAGCAGGGCACCTGACAATCTGTGGGAGTTTAAAGGATCTTGTGAAGAAACCGTCCTCAGCTAGCAGATTCTGGCTGATCACAGTGATCCCCTCCGTGTTCTGTGGGGACAGGGGGTGGGTGCTTCATACCCCAGGCCTTCAGCACATGATATAACCTCAGTGTCTGGGATCCACTCTCCCATCAGGAGAGGCCACGTCGATGTCCATAGTGAATATCCTGGTCACAGGATCCATCTTGTGGTCCACAACAAACACCCGGTATTGAACTGGAGGGAGAGGGAAGACTCTGAGTTCTGGGTAGAATCTGAAGAGGGAGGTAGTCGTTAGGATCTTGGGTATTAGGATATAGGGGTCTTTGGACAGAGGGTGACCTTGGGGGGTGGAATATGACAGGCAATGGGGGAGACTGGGAATGAGAGTCAGCATCTGCCCTAGGCCAAGTGCCTGGGGGCTGTACCCAAGTGCTCAGGGGTGTAGATGGGCTTGTCTGTCTGGATGAAGATGTAGCCAGCATGGGGAGCCACCGGCACTATCTTCTCCATGAATGAAGTGGTCGAGATGGGTGCCCAGGTTGCCCGGATGATGACATACTGCTGCCCTGGTTGTGAGGGGTATATCAGGCTCTCGGGAATCTGGGGAGAGAAGCCCACACTCCTCAGGCTCTGCTGAGGTCTCCATCCCTGGGAGCAAATCCCTGAGCCAGATCTTGGGAGAAACAATTGAGTGGGGGGCGGGGCCCTCTGGCTCTGTGGTTGGGAGCAAGGTTGCCTTGCAGGTTGCTCCTGCACAAGGACATCCAGCCAAAGCGGGAATGCAATCCAATCCACGGTCAGCTTCCCAAGCCACCAGCAGAGGGCGCCTTTTATTAATTCTCACAGAGACATCATCTGGGCTAGTCACTGCCCTTGTTGGAGCCCGGACTCAGAGGACTTTGGATTTCTAACTGGACGGGACATAAGAGGAGGAGTAAGTATATCCAAACCCTGCATCTCTTCTCCAGTGTCCCTCGTGGGAAGTCCCTCTAGAGTCTGCCCCTCTCCATCCTTGCTGCTGACCCAGAGCCTCCCTCTGTGGCCACCCATCCTGGCCTGTCACCTACCGTCACGGAGGCCTGTTTCATAAAGTCATTTTCTTCTGAGAGAATGAGGTGGCTCTTAGCCATCACTGCCTTCTTCATGGGGAAGTCCCATATGGTGAGGTTCACCTCGAGGGTCCCTTTGAGGGACTGCTGGGAGTCCGAGTGAGCCTGTACATGGATGGTCTCAGGGCTGCCGGCCCGCAGGGCTCGGGGGGGGGGGGGGTCACCAGGATGTACCTGCCAGTAGACAAACACAGGAGCATGGGGGCGGGGAGGGGAACTCAAGTGGGGGAAGCAGCAGCAGAGAGGCAGGCTCACATGCAGGGAATCATGCAGGCAGCGGCTGAGTGCCCTCCGTTTCCCAGACTCACAGTGGCTCAGCATGGGCAAGAGGGGTCCCCAAGAGGAGTAGAATCAACCCCACGAGCCAGGGCACATCCATGGTGGTAGGGGGCTGACGTGCAACCACAGGCCACAGACACACGCCCTCTTGTCCGCTCTGTTTGCCTTGGTCTGTCCTGGCTGAGTTAATATCTAAACAGATGTGGGGAGGGAATCCCCATAAATCCAATGGGGGAAGAGGGGGGCTGCTCCTCCCTTCTCAGCCCATCCTCCACGGGAGGCTGGGGACAGCTGCACTAGGAAGTATTCCAGTCCCCCCTTGGAGGCCAAGCTCTCTGGGCTCCTTTTCCAGAAGGCAAATTATACATATGAAACCAGGGACAAAAACACATCATGCTTGAGGCATTCCTGGAAGAAGGCTTTCTCTGTCCCGAAATAATTTTCACTGCCTGTTTAATATGCCCTTTAAAGATGTTGGACCAACTTTGTGGCCTCTGCCTCTTAGAAGCAGATGGGTTGCTGACAAGTTTATCTGGTTCTTCTTCTTCTTCTTTTTTTTTTTCAGTGAAGCCAATACTGCTAGCTTGGAGAGTCTTGCTTATTGGAAAGCCCCAGATCTCCCTGAAACAATGATAATATACATTTATCCTACAAAGATTCATTAAGTATTTGCTATGAGCCCAGCCCTCCTAGGCATGCTGGGAACACAGCAGTGACCACGGTAGACGAAATCCCTGCCCCTGTGGAGTGGACATTTAAGGAGGACTTGCTAAGGGCTTAAGGTGCATTTCCTCCTTAAACCTCACAGCCTCTTGTTAATTAGGATCAACCTGTGCCCTCTTTCCAGACTCTACCTTTGTAGAGAGCTGGAAAACCAAGTGTGTTAGAAACAAAAGGGGAAGGTGGGATCTAGTCATTCATTCCTCAGGTATTTACTGAGCACCTACTGTGTGCCAGATGCTATTCTACATGCTCTATGTGCACTGACAGAAGAACCATAAATGTCCCACATTTATGCTGAAGTAAGAATTCCCACCTATTGTACAGATAAGGAAACTGAGGCCTGCTGAGTGAAGGCAACTTGCCCTGGGTCAGGCAGGGAGCCGTGAGGCTGCGGGTGATGCTCTTGAGTCCATGGTAAACAATCTTTTGTGAAGCAAAGAATCAACAGAATCAAATTAAGAGCTGGATCAGGGAAGCAGATGAGACTTAATTTGGAAGGTTCTAGAACATTGGTGTCCTCTTTGTTTTTTGGTTTTTTTTTTTTAAAGATTTTATTTATTTGACAGAGAGAGATACAGCGAGAGAGGGAATACAAGCAGGGGGAGTGGGAGAGGGAGACGCAGGCTTCCCGCTGAGTGGGGAGCCCGATGCGGGGCTCGATCCCAGGACCCTGGGATCATGACCTGAGCCGAAGGCAGACGCTTAACGACTGAGCCACCCAGGCGCCCTGGTGTCCTCTTTGATGTTTCAGCTCTGTCTCCCTGCTCTGTGGGATGCTCTGCTGGTGCTGTTCAGCCCTCCCTTAGCTGGGGGTGAGCTCCCCCCTTCACATCTTTGTCCCCACACCAGGTGTCTACATCCCCCTCTCTGTCCCAGGGGCTTCTAAGTGTCCAGAACAAGGCATTGTCCAAAAGTGTGGGATGGCAGGGGTTCTAGTCTCAGTCCCTCCCACCTTCTGTCCAGTCTGGACTCCCTCTCGCCATGCCAGTATCTCTGTCTCCCCAGTGGGAATCCTGGGGAGGTAAGCACATCTGGGGCTTTTGAAACCTGCTCAAGCCTGCAGCTTCTTTGAGTTTCAGTTTTGTCTTGGGGGTGGGCCCAGGAAGGGAAAAACAGAGGAGGTGGGACACACTTTGAAAACAAGGTGATATAGCTTTATCATCCGACGAACAAATGGATGGAGGCGAAAATGGGTGCTGGGTGAATGAGTGACAGGAGCTCACATCTCATACATCTGTCCCCTCCTCCCCACCCCAGCCTCAGCTCCCCTAAATGAAGAATAAGCATTTGTTCAATAACTAATATATAAAATAAGTTTGAGCGCCAGCTGCATGTCTGGCTTTGTTGTAGGTGCTGGGGACACAGAAGTGAACAGGACGGAAACCCCTTCCTCTGGGGAGTGGGTGTTTACTGTAGCTGCCTTCACCGGGACTGTCTCTTTTCACCCTCTCAGGGTTCTAATGACCCACTGATCCACTTTGCTGATGGAAAAACCTAGGCACCAGAAGGTAAAGTGTCCTGCCCGAAACTGCAGCTAGGAAACTGAGGCACAGGGAGGTTAAGGGACTTGCCTAAGATCACACAGCAAGTTAAGTGAACCTGTGTTTGAGTGGGAGGAGGAGTAGGGGGTCGCAGACCACCTGTGGGATCCACCCAGGTCCCCTACACCAGTTAATGGTCAAGTTCAACCTTTCGCACTTGGCCGCGAGAGGGCGCCAGCGAGCCTCCAGCCAGACTGAGGAGCGCTCGGCCTCCTCCCACAGGAATGCGGGTGGTGGAGGGAGGGGACGTTGGCCGCACGCCCAGAGCAGCTGCTACTGCCGCTCAGATCCCGCCCGCCTTCCCCTCCCTGGGACCCCGGGTTTGCAGCAAGCAAGCCAGGGCAGGAGGGACGGCTTTGCAGGGATGTGTGGCCTCTGTTTTCGCTCCCTCCTCCTCCAGGCTTCCAGCCCAAAGCTTCCCGGGAAAGGCCGGACAGGATCCCGGAGGCTAGGAGTCATACCCATAGCAACATTTCAGTGAATGGCTGTCATATAGGAAACAACTAAGTCCCGGCACTTAGTAGGGACTTTCTCGCCAGCAACCCTTCCATTTTACAGGTGAGGAAACCGGAGCTCAAAAAGGTGACGTTTCTTGCGTCTTAGCGTGGACGTGGACGAAACCGCCAGGATGTGCCCTGCTTGGCCACTTCCTGTCTGAGCCCAGGCTCCTCCGGTCATTTCTTGGTCCCTGAGGGCGTCTGATCACGCACTTGTTTTCCCTAAGGCTTCAGGAACGGCCCTTGCTGGTCCCTAAGGGCATCCATCACGTGCCTCCCCTTCTGGTGCAAGGAGGTCTGGCACTCAGTGAGAATTTTCAGGGGAAGCTTGTTGCTTTATATGGGAGGAGGGAGAGGAATTCAGCAGTCACGTTTGGGGGTGATTATTGGGTCTGAAAGCGGTGTGATATGCGCTCCAACAGAACTGACAGCCTGATCAGGGAAAACTACCCCCAAATAAGCAGCTATGAGGGCCCAGAGAAACCTCCTAACCCATCCAGGCTGGGGAGTCAAAGAAGGCACCCTGGAGGAAGCGGTATTTAGGCTGAGACCTGAAAGTCTCAGGAAAGTGTGGGTAATCAGGGCGAGGATTAGGGGTGGGAGACAGCAAGATGGTTTTGTTTCAGGGGGAGGGAACAGCCCATGCAAAGACCTGGAAGGGAGGTGGAGCATGGTGATTTGGGGAGTAGTAAGAAAAGGGTCTTG